CATCCAACCCATCCATCCATCCATCCATCCATCCAACCCATCCATCCATCCATCCATCCATCCATCCATCCATCCATCTAACCCATCCATCCATCCATCCATCCATCCATCTAACCCATCCATCCATCCATCCAACCCATCCATCCATCCATCCATCCATCCATCTAACCCATCCATCCATCCATCCATCCACTCATCCATCCATCCATCCATCCATCCAACCCATCCATCCATCCATCCATCCATCCATCCATCCATCTAACCCATCCATCCATCCATCCAACCCATCCATCCATCCATCCATCCATCCATCCATCTAACCCATCCATCCATCCATCCATCCATCCATCTAACCCATCCATCCATCCATCCATCCATCCATCCATCCATCCATCCATCTATCACCCAATAGAGTTCTGATCCTGCGAGGTGGATTCACTCCTGGTCAGATCAGAGGATGACTTCAGCTGTCTGCTTCGTTCTGTATTCCTGAGTATATTTCCTCAATTTACCTTAATAAATTTCCCTAACACTTTTTAAACAGACTCCCATGGATTTATTGCTTTATCTGGTGCCCAATGTGGGACACAAAAATGTAGCTGTACAAGATGCCAGCAGAGAAGTAATGCCACGGCCACATGGCAACATATAGATTAATAGAAATGGGTTGAGTTAAGTAAGAAGAGCTAGCTAGCAAGAAGCCTGACCCATAGGCTATACAGTCTGCAAACAATATAAGCCTCTGTGTGTTTACTTGGGACCAAGCAGCTGTGGGATGCCAGTAGGAGAGATTCATCTTGACTGCGGGGCTGGGCAGGATCAGAGAACCTTACAGCTACAGTTTGCCCCACCTCCCACCCCAATTAAAATGTCCCTGGGATGGAAAGTGACTTTATGTCAGAAAGACACTTTTTCAGATATCAAACTAAAGCTCTCGAGATAAGGTCTTGATCAGGTGTCCTTCCAAGAGATACATAGAAGGGAAGAAGGCAAAGTCCTTGGGAAGGCCAGAAAGGGATTGGGACCCAGACCAAGGTGCTCCGACAGTAAACAGAAACTGAAAGAGACATGAAGGATCTCATTAGAGCCTCCAGGGGGAGTGCCACTCCGCTGTCTGCATTTCAGACTCATGGCCTCTCAGAGGGTACAGAGAAGTCAGGTGGACAGCAGCACTTTGCCACAGGAAGCTAACACAGGCCTTGCCACTCATTAACTCTGGCAGATGAAATGGTTGAACGGCCCTGAACTGCCTTCCTCCATAAAGAGAACTATTTCCCAAACTTATTCAACAGGAGTTTGCTAAGAGCCTGGTGCTATGCTGAACCTACTGGAAGCTTCCCAGTGGCAAGGAAGTGGTTACCAAGGGTCACATAAGAAAGTGCAAAGCTACTTTGTTGCCCACACTGAGAGACCCAGTGGCTTCCCCTTGTGTGGCAGTTTAACTTCTTCATCAGTCTGACTGGATTTGGAATCACTGTGGGGCTGTTTCTGGCAAACTTTAACCGAGGAGGGAAGGCCAGCCCAGAATAGAGAGAAAGGAGAAAGCCAGCTAGATGTGAGTGAGCATCCATGTTCTCTGCTTCCTGACTGCAGGTGTCATGTGACCTTGCCTCATGTTCTTCCCACTACAGCCAGAAAGGCTTTCATCACCATGCCATCCCCTCCATGATGGACTGTATGTATCCTGGAACTAGGAGCCCAAATTGTTAGGTCTCAAACTTGGGACAAATGGCTGAGGTGCCTATCTGACATATCAAAGCGGACCTGGCCACCAGGTTCTCCCAGCATCCCTCAGTTCCTACCTGTTACAGGGCATGGCTGGCATACCCCGCCCCTCTGCCCTAAGCTTCTCCAACCCAGTAGTTGGGCTGCCCTTCCCTACATAATCCAGCCATTTTGGTTACCGGTTCTTTTGTCTACCCTGCACTCTCCTGGCTCTCCCCTCTCTCATCCCTTCACATGGCCCAGAACAGGGTCATGTTCACTCTGGACTCTCCCAGATGCCCCTGCCTCTGCCTCTGCTCTCTTTCTTATCTACAATAAGCCTTCTCTTCTACCATACCTAGGAAGAGTCAGGTCCTTCCTTTTATTTCTTTTTTTTTCATTAAAAAATAAACCCTTTCTTCCTTGAGCTGGTGGGTTTTTTAAAACTTTTTAATGTGGGTGGGTGTTTTGACTGCATGTGTGTATGTGTACCATATGTGTGCAGTGACCAAGGAGGTCAGAGAGGTGCTGGATTTGAATCCAGGTCATCTGGAAGAGCAGCCAGTGCTCTTAACCACTGAACCATCTCTCCAGCTCCAATGCTCTATTTTAAACACAGGGGAAAATGGTCCCCCACAACCATAAATTCTGCAGTTGAATCTCTCACACTTGGGAGATGAACACCTGGAATGAAATGAATGAGCCTCACCCTGGGAAAACCACGTTCTTGTGGTGTCTTTCCCACCAGCAGAGTATCCTTAGGTTGTTTTGCTCAGGCCCTTTGTCATAGCAGTAAGAAGAATACAACTGATGCAAGAAAAGCACACCGACAGGGATCCCTGTACTCCACAGTGCGGCCCATAGGCCTTTGGAAGAGTCTGACCTGCAGGCTAGAGAGGTCTAGAATGCTGTAAGCCGGGCATAATGGGCCATTCTGGAGAGTTTGAAGACCTCATCTATGAAAGACTCCAACTTGTGAAAATGAACATTTATTTGAAAAAAAGCCCAAACTGAATGTCAGGAGGCTTTCTCAGCTTGAATTCAACTTCCTAGAAGTGGTTTCTCAGGTTCAGGCCCTAGATATAGAGGAGACACCCACTATTCAGCAGCTGTGGGGGACAGTTTTATGTTGACTTGACACAAGTAAGTCATCTGAGAGGAGGGGACCTCATTAAAAAATGTCTCCGTAAGATCTGGCTGTAGGCATTTTCTTAATTAGTGATTGGTGGGGAAGGGCCATCACTGGGCTGATGGTCCTGGCTTCTATAAGAAAGCAGGCTGAGCAGCAAATGAGGAACGAGCCAGTAAATGCAGCACCCCTCCATGGCCTCTGCATCAGCTCCTGCCTCCAGGTTCCTGGCCTGTTTGAGTTCCTGTCCTGATTTCCTTCAATGATGAATTACAATGTGGAACTGTAAAGTCGAATAAACCCTTTCCTCCCCAACTTGCTTTCTGATCATGGAGTTTCATCACAGCCATAGAAACCCTAACAGAGGGTATGCACAATGCATGAGTTACTGGGTCATGGAAGCTTGCATTGAAGTTCCAGAAAGCTGTGGACTCTAGGTAATGTGTGGCACTTAGATTCCCTAGAAGGAGGTCCTGAGACCAACCATTGGATGAAGCTGTGAAGGTGAATCCTAAAATCCAATGGAGATTCCAAAAAGGGTGGAGAAAACCAAGGCCACGAGACATAAGCCAAGGAAAGCTCCTGTACACGGAGTGAAGTGTGCCCAAAAGAGACCTCTGTGCCGCAGGGGGCAGAGCTGGAGAGGCGGGCTGCTGAAGCTTGCTGGGGCACAGGAGTCACATGAGGAGGGACCGCTGAAAGCTCCGGATGTCAGATGTGGGGTGGCAGGATACGCTCCTTGTCCTCCTTGGGTTTTGGTTCTGATTGGCCCATTCTAGCCTCTCTCTGCCCCCACTCCTTCCTTTGGGAATGGGAATGCTTACTCTCTGTGTCTTTGTATATTGGGAGTGTGTGTATATATATATGTATGTATATGTATATGTATGTATATGTATATGTATATATGTATATATATATATACACATTTATATATTTCAAAATAGGGTTTCTCTGTGTAGCTCTGGCTGTCCTGGAACTCACTCTGTAGACCAGGCTGGCCTCAAACTCACAGAGATCCTCCTGCCTCTGCCTCCTGAGTGCTGGGATTAAAGATATGTACCACCACCATAACTTTATTTTTTTTTTCGGATTTACAGAGACTTATAGTTAAAATCACCTTGAGCATCAGAGGAGACTTTGGACTTCTGAACACTGTTAGAACTGTTAAGGTGAACTAAATACATGTTGCATTATGAGACGGCTATAGACATTGAGGTCTATGGGTAGAACGTTACCACTAAAAATTATGTGTTAGGGTATCACATTGATGAGGGTGGTACTGAGAGGGTTAATCTTCACTGAATAACCTCTGGGCATGTCTGTGAGGGTGTTTCCAGATGGGTTTAACTGAGGGAGGAAGGTCACCCCAAGTGGGTAGCACATGGGCTGGGGTTTTGGATTGAATAAAAAGGAGAACACAGACAGGGGACCAGTATTGAGCTCTCTGCCTCCTGACTGTGACTGGAATGCCACCAGCTACTCCAGTCTCCTGCTCCCGTGCCTTCCCTACCACGATGGGCTGTGCCCCCAGACTGTGAGCCGAAATCAACCCTGCCACCCTTAAGTCACTTCTACCAGACATTTGTCACAGCCGTGAGAACAGACACTGACATGCCAGGACGGAGCAAGTGGGTGGACCCGGGACAGCGAGTCATGGTGCCCAGCCCGGAGAGTGTATGCGAAAGGGTCAGGGGAGGGTGTGTGCAAGGATTCCAAGGCGCAGAAAGCACCGGACACCAGGGAGTTACAAGGAGCCACAGCTGGTAGAAGCCACACTTGGGGCTGCGACTTGACTGTATTGGAGGAGGAGGTGGGAGAGAGGATGTGAAGCCCACTGGGGCTTTGGGGCCATATTGGATGTGCTGGAATCCCATGGTGGGTATGGGGCAGGGAGACAAGGGTGGCCAGACACTCCTCTGGAAACATCGTTGAGATGTAAGTGGAGAGAGAGCAGGGAACTGGCTGGAGTGACAGGGAGGAGACCCCCGCTGTCATCTAGGCAGCCTCAGGACAATGAGTGGGGGGAAGGGGACAGACTTGAGGGTTATGAGGCAGAAATTTAAAAAGCCCCATCAATATCACACGGTGACACCCTGGGGCAGACACAGGTGCGGCATGGTCACCGGCTGCCCTGCACCCACATCACAAAGGCAGCAAATCCACTTACCATCCTTGAGTGAGAAGCTGAGGAGGTCCTGTGGGGAAAGGAGACAGTTATCAGTGAAGTGCTGACAGCCCACCACCCAGCTCACGCGACAGACGAGCACTGAGTCCTATCAAGTGGAGATGGCCTAACAGTGGTGAGCCAGGTAGCCACTGTGCACGTAAGTGAATAAGCAGGCCAAGGCGAGGAGGGGAAGGCCCTGCTTCCTCCCTGTGCACGTGGCCACCAGCAGCCCATGTCTGTCACAGCTTCTGCCTACTTAAACTGCACTCAGAGAGGGTGAGTGACATGCTCAAGGCCACACAGCAAAGCTGCTGCTTCAGAAAAAAGTCATAACTTGGTAGAATGCAGGCTCTAGGGGCAGACCACCAAGGTTCGAATCCTGGTTTTGGTTACTTATGAGCTGTGTGACCTGGGGCAAGTGACTTAACCTCTCTATGCCTCAGTCTCCTCAACTACAAAGTAGGGATGATTACCCAGGTTAAACATCCTAATTAAAAACATCCCAATTCCAAAACTATATATACATTTTTAAAGATTTATTTATTTAGTGTATGCATGTGAGCATGTGTGAATTTATGTGCACCATACGTGTGCAGGAACCTGAGAAGGCCAGAAGAGGGCACTGCATTCCCCAGAACTGGAGTTATAGGAGCAGCAAGTGTTGTTATTGATTGAACCATCCCTCCAGTAACTCACTCCCAGTTCCAAAAATTTTTCAAGTGAAAAAAATTCCATATTGTGAACTGTGGTACTATGCCCAAAAGTATTAAAAATGTATAAAATTACCCCCAGACTATGTGTATAAGATGCACAGGACACATGTGTCAATTTTGTGCATAGTATGCATGTCTCATCTAAAGATACCTTATAATATGTGCGTAAATATTCCAGCCTTGGGGCTGCTGGGGACGGAGAATGAGTCATTTCCCTCCAACTCAGTCACATGGGCTGGGGTGGCGCATGGTCCAGTACTCCATTGTGATATATTACAGTGATGCTGAATGGTCATGGTAGGAACCATCACTACCCATTTAACACTCAGAGTGCTTATAATGGGATCTTGCCTTTACAGAGGTTAGCACATTTAATTCTCAAACAACCTCCTGGGGCATGTGACACAGGCTGAGTACCCCATGTCCAAAATGCTAACAACCAGAAGTGCTTGTAAGACTTCCAGTTGGGAGGGGGAGGCTGGAATATTTTTTGACTTATTTTTATTTTATGCATATGGGTGTTTTGTATGCATCTATCTCTGTGCACCACATGTGTGCAGTGCCCGTGAAGCCTGGAAGAGGGCGTCAGAGCCTTTGGAGCTAGAGTTATAGATGGTTGTGAGCTGCCACCCAGGGGCCAGTGCACCTGAGTGACTGCTGATGGGTCTCCTTTCAGGATGGGGTCCTTCAGTAAAGTCTGAGCAAAGATGTCGGCTTCTTCACCTCCCAGGCCGCTGGCAAAGGCAGTCATGGTTGGGAGGACAGCTTCGGACAAATGCAGCCATTTTACCAGGCCCGTCACAAATTCTGTGCAGAAGGAACTATAAAAGATGTAGTTAGATCCCAGCCCTCTGGAGAACACGGCCTGGAGAGCCCACAGTGGATGGACAGGGTCACATATGTCAGCCTGTGACTCAGGTCCAGGAAACACAGAGACAGTGTGAATGGAATCTCAGGTGACACAGCTCCTGCCTTCAGTTCATGCCAAGACTTTTTACCAAGAGGCACATGAACCACAGGAATGAAGGTGCCAGCTGCTGCCACCTGTGTGACCTGAACCACGATGGGGAATAAGGAATCAAGGGACAGAAGTCACCCCCAGAGTGGTGTGATGTGTGAGGACAGAGGGAGGGACCATGTGCTAAGCAACCCTAGGTCCACCTGCAGACCTGGACAGCAACCCTGGGAAACCAGGAGATGTGCCTGGATGTCACCACGGACTCATTTCTGGAAAGACGTCCGCTGCAAAGGGAACGCTCACCCCAGCAGGTGTGCTGCCATGGGGACTGCTAGGGGGCAGCGGGGCCACTGTGGAGAGTTGGGAGCCCCATGATCTGAGATAGAAGCACACTGTATCTTCTTGGGGACCACAGCAGAGTCCACACTAGACGTCTGATGCAGGCTGCCCTCTGGAAAGGGCTGAGGTTTTGGCGAAGGGTGGTGGGCTGTGGGGAATAGAATTCATCAGGAAGTAAAGAAAAGGGAAAAGGTTGAAGTCTAGATTCCTCATTTAAACTCTGAAAGCGGAGTTCCAGCCTGTAAACACTGCCCTGGGCTTCCAGTCCTGGACTCTGCTCCTGTAGGGAAACTGGCAAGACCATGGTGGACTCCTGGAAATATTTAGAGATTGCTGGTGGTGAAGGAACCTAAGGAGTCCCCCCTTACGCCACCCAGCCCATTCCTTACAGCTGCTGCGGGGCAGAGAGAGCTTTACAGCTAGTGCCATCAGGGTGTGGGGTGGGAGCTGGGGGCCAGACCCTGGCTTTGCTGCCACCAGAACCTGGTCTGAAGGGAGATTATTGCTCCCCCACCTAGGACCAGCACCTACAGAAGGGAAGGAGGGGGCGGAGCTCGGCAGAGGGAGGGCAGCAAGCTGCCACCTTGAGGGACACCTCAACTGCCACTGCCATTGACCCTAGCGGAAGTTCTGAAGATGGGTTCCTCCCCCCACACACAGTGGTTTCAAGGGGTGACTCTGTGCCAGGGATCCTGGGGAGTCAGGTGACATCTTGGAAACGCAGTCCTGTACAGCTGGGGCAGGCCCCAAAGGTCATAGAGAGCTCAGGGCTGTGCTAACAGTCCCTCCTTCCTTCCTCTGAGGAGAACAAGAGAGCCACAGCAACTTGGGAAGGTAGCTTGTCCTCTGTCTGTGCCCCTGAATTACTTATCTGTAAAATGGGTTCAAGAGACTAGCTTCCCAAGGCAGAATACAGCAAGCAGAAAATGTCTGAGCAATGCTAGTCAGCAGGGTAACTGACGGACAGGTGACTGAAGGAGAGAGGGAGGAAAGGGTGAGAATTGGACTGTGACATCCAGCCATCCTGGGAAATCCTCAGAGAACCCACTTCACCTTTCTTATTTTCTAAGGCTGTAAAAGGTAGGTAACACTGGGACCCACCCCGGGAGTTATATAAGAAGATAAGATGACAGGAACAGTGTGTGGCATCTGCAGACCTGCAGTAAATGTTATCTCCCGTGATGGCCTCCTGATAGATAACTCACTTCCCACTGGGTCATCCCGGGGATAGCAGGTGGGTGTGGATGGCGATGTCTTCAGGAATGATTAAGTGGGTGAACACAACGGACCAGTCAATGTAGTAGAGGAATGACTCAGGGCCAAGGGAGTAGTCTAGCCTGGCATCTGTCAAGAAAGACCCAAAGAACTATCTTGTTGGGCTGGAGAGATGGCTCGGCCGTTAAAGGCTAGGCTCACAACCAAAGAACGATCTTGTCACAAGAGCACAAGGTTAAAGAGCAGAGCACCAGTGCTACCGCCAGCTGTGGGGTCCTGGGATCGGTTTCTCCAGCTCTCTATGCCTCGGACTTTTAATATATAAAATAGTTGTGATGATGAGGAAACCTAATTCACAGGGCTGCCGGAAAGATCAACAGAGTTACTCTCTGTCCTGGGCTGAGAAGGGCACCTGTGAGGCACCACATACCGACGTATTTCTATAATGGGTGCTCTAGTTCCTTTTCTGTTGCCGTGATAAAATATCCTGGCGAAAAGCAGCTCAGGGAAGAAAAGGTTTACATGGCTAACAATTCCAGGTTACAGTCCACCACTGTGGGGAAGTCACGAGGGGAACTTGAAACATCGTATCTGCAGTCATAAACAGAGAAGGAACAAGTCCATGGACTCTTACTTGTTTGCTGCTCTCAGCTGGCTTTCTCCTCTTATACTATTCAGGACCCCCTGCGGAGGGAATGGTGCTGCCCGCAGTGGGCTGGGATCTTCCAACATCAATTAACAGCGAGACAGTCCTCCACAGACATAGCCACAAGCCACCCTCATCTGGACAGTTCTTCATTAAGACTTCTCCCAGGTATACTAGGCTGTGTCAAGTTGCCAGTTAAAACTAAACAACACAATGGTCTAGTGGAAGTGTGTGTGTGTGTATGTGTGTGTGTGTGTGTGTGTGTGTGTGTGTGTGTGTGTGTGTATAGCCAGCATAGCAAATGAACAAGTTAAGCAGTATGTCAAATGGGCAGGGCCTTGGTAATTGCTGTAACTATGGGTGGCTGGGTTGCAATACAAAAAATAAGGCAATGATGGTCGGGGTGTTTAGCTTGGTGGTAAAGTGCAAGCATAATGTGCGCAATGCCTCAGGTTCCATCCCCAGCACCATCAAAAAGGAAACAAAACAACATCAGCAAAGGCAGTGACGCTCAGCACGCAGCTGAGTCTGCCTGAGCTGTCTTTCCATACAGAGACTTGAATTCTTACCACGGCCCCACGAGGCCAGGAAGGTCTTATGTCAACGCCTGTCCCCTCAGATGTGGCAGCCTAGATGCAGACATGTTAAGCTCTAGGCTCAGACATTTGTCTTGTATCCCCACTGCCATGATTACCCACCATGGAGCCAGCCCCTCTTTAGCAACTGCATCACTCAGGGTCATCATGTGCTGGTCACTCACTAAGATTGTCCTTACAGGCAGGGCACCTGGCTTTTGGGGTTCAAGCTGACCAGGGTCCCAAAGGGGAACGTAGGCAAGGCTTCCTTGGAATCTTGGCTTCCTCATTCTTCCTCCAAAGTTCTTCCCCTCACGGACCACAAATTATAGCCTTCAGGAATCTGGCCCCTCGCCTGCTTTTATGAATAAAGTTTTATTGACACACAGCTATGCTCTTGTTGTAGCCACTTTGGGTCCACAACAGTGAGGTTGAATAACTGACACAAACCACAGCCTGAGAACCAAAAATACCTGAGCCTTGGCAGAAGGAATTTGTGCTGAACTTTGCCTACCCAACTAGTTTTGACTTCTGAGACGTGGTCTCAGCATATAGCCAGCCCAGATTGGCCTTGAACTTGTGATTCTCCAGCCTCAGAGCATGCAGCAGGAGAGAGGTCTGAGCCTGGAGCTGCTGCACCTGTCTCTATACTGCTTCTTTGGTTTTATTTTTGTCTTTTTTTCTTTCATTTATCTTTTTGTGGTACGGGACTGAGCCTCATGCAAACTAGGCAGGCATTCCCCTGCTGCTCTTCATCCCTGCCCCGTCTGGCTTTACATTCTGAATAAATTGAATCAATTGTAAGGAGCAGCATCTGGGATGCTCACAGGACAGATAAGAAATAAATATTTGGGACATTTGCTTTGATGTCCCAGGAGGACAAAAACCCAGCTACTGAATGTTTTCCAAAGATAACGGAACCCAACAGCCTATCTGGGCTTTAAAAGGACAGAGAGTTAAAAAAAAAAAAAGTGTGTTCTGCCTTAAAATTCAGATGGGCAGCAACTTGGAACACAGCATGGGAAACAGTGAGCCCAGGGAGAATGCTGGGGACACGGGAACAGAATTCACATCCCTAGTGTCCTTTTAGTAGTGTCCAGGACAGGCCTGCAGTTGGGGGCGGGCATCAGGACCTGCTTTTGGAGGGTCCTTGGTGGTGATGGTGGCGATGGCAGCAGTGGAGATGGTGGTGGAGGTGGTGGAGGTGGTGGTGGTGGTGGTGGTGGTGGTGGTGGTGATGGTGGTGGTGATGGTGGTGGTGGAGGTGGTGGTGGTGGTGGAGGTGGTGGTGGTGGTGGAGGTGATGGTGGTGGTGGAGGTGGTGGTGGTGGTGGAGGTGATGGTGGTGGTGGAGGTGGTGGTGGTGGTGGTGGTGATGGTGGAGGTGGTGGTGGAGATGGAGGTGGTGATGGAGATGGAGGTGATGGAGGTGGTGGAGGTGGTGGAGGTGTGGGGGGGCTATCTGGTTCATCTACTTAAAGGAGCTTTTGGGAAGATGGAGGCTTCCCAGGTTTGGTACAAGAAAGGGACAGAGTAGGTGTTGAACTGAACTTTTTTTTTTTTTTTTTGGTTTTTCGAGACAGGGTTTCTCTGTGTAGCTTTGCGCCTTTCCTGGAACTCACTTGGTAGCCCAGGCTGGCCTCAAACTCACAAAGATCCGCCTGGCTCTGCCTTCCGAGTGCTGGGATTACAGGCATGCGCCACCACCACCTGGCAAGCTGGACTCCTGTAGGAGACAGACACAGGCTTGCCTGGTGAGGTGGTTTCGATGAGATGTCCCTTAGAAGTCTCAGGCACCTGAATACTTGGTCCCCAGTTGGTGGCTGTTGGGGAAGGATTAGGAGGTGTGGCCTTGTTGGAGGAGGTGTGTCACTGGGAGTGAGCTTTGAGGTCTCAAAAGCCTCCTGCCATTCCCCAGCATGCTCTCTGCCTCCTGCTTGCAGCTCTGAGAGGTAGCTCTCAGTTGCTGCCGCCACCATGCCTTTGCTTTGCAGCCATGGATTCTAACCCTTGGAAACCACAAGGGCAATCAAGCACTTTCTTCTATAAGTTGTGTTGGTCGTGATGTTGATCACAGCAAGAGAAAAGTAACTAAGACGCCTGGGAACAGAATACCCAAGATGTTCTCACTGCTAGATGGAGGCTATGGGAATGATGACACCATCATCATCATTTGAAACAGGGTCTTACGTAGCCCAGGCTGGCTTCAAGTTTACTATGTGGGCGAGGATGGCTCTGAGCTCCTGATCTTCCCGTCGTCACATCACGAGTGCTGGGATTGCAATCCTGTGCCACCATGTCCAATTTGATGCAGGGCTGTAGCTCTGGGCCAGGTTCCCCAGAGGCCATTTACACACATCCCCTGCCCTGCTACCCCCTGTGACATCAATGCAGTGGCAGTTGTTTCTCTGGTGGCAAAAACTGCCAAATACTCCCTCCTCTGCGCTGCCCCCCATCCCAAGGCTGAGGCTTGGCTATGTGACCTAGGGCCACATGCCTATGTAGAACAGTGGATCCTAATTGCCCTGATGGGGTAAGGGCAGCTTGGGGAAGTCCACTCAGAGGCCACCCCAGGCTGGCAGGCAGTACATTCAGGAGGCCACTGGGTGTTTGAGGGAACATCAGCCTGTGTGGTCCCTTTCACAAGATCTAACCAATGACATAAAAGAAAGCCTTAGGGAAGTGGTGGAGGTTGGGGGGTAGATTAGGAAAGACTTTCTGTCTGTCTGTCCTCCCACCTTGGGCCTATTCCTGTGAAGATGTGATATATAGAACTGAAGCAGTTATTTTGTGATCACGAATCTTATAAATAAGCAAGTGTCTCTGGAGGCAGCCCATCAACTGGGAATTATCTACCTTTGGTTTCTTTGTTTGTTTTTAGCACATAAGGAAAAGAAACCTATCACTTACTCTTTTTTGGTTCTGTGGTTTAGGACTCGTACCCCAAAGTACCCTGGCTGCAGGAAGAGTTCCACTGTTATCCTCACATTATGAAGAAACTAGTGTTGTGGGATATCTGTATACTCTGTGAAGATGTATTTGCCATGATTGGTGTAATAAAGAGCTGAACGGCCAATAGCTAGACAGGAAGAGGTTAAGTGGGACTTCCGGGGACAGAGAGGACTCTGGAAAAAAGAAAGGCAGAGTCGCCAGCCAGATGGAGAGGAGGTGCAAGAAGAAAGAAAGTTAAAAAGCCCTGAGGCAAAACATAGTTTAATATAAATGGGTTAATTTAAGTTATAAGAGCTAATGGGACAAGCCTAAGCTAAGGCTGAGCTTCCATAATGAATAAGAAGTCTCTGTGTTGTTATTTGGGAGCTGGCTGGTGGGACAGAAAAAGACTCATTACAAATGAGGGCAAAGGGAGTATGTAGAGCTGGTCAACACCTGCAACTATGTACTGTGCACCTACTATGTGCTAGGCATTGTGATGCTTATCCTACAGATGCAGAGCCAGACTGCTGCTCCCCACCTGCTCAAGTCACCCTCCCAAAGTCACAGGATGTAATGAGAGCTGAGCGTGAACCTGTGGAAGGTTCCCTTGCTTCTGAAGCCATCAGCTGCTGTCATTTTTTTCAGGGACTTCACTGAAGGCCAGGGTGCCACTGAACTGTGGGATGGTCCTGGGATTCAAAGGTGACTAAGGTGACTTCTGCCTTCCAAGGAGCTCAGGGTGCAGGGGTGGTGGGTCTGGGAAGCAATCTACTGGGAATTGGGGGAAGTTGCCATGTGCCCTATGCAGAACAGTGGGCCCTAATTACCCTGATGGGGTGAGGGCAGGTTGGGGAAGACCACTCAGAGGCCACCCCCGGCTGGCAGGCAGTATGTTCAGGAGGCCACTGGGTGTTTGGGGGAACATCAGACTGTGTGGTCCCTTTCACAGGGACATCTCTCACATTTAGGCTCTCTTTCCTCCTCAGGGTTAGTCCGTTAGCTCCTGCTTCTCCCTCACCCTAACATTAGGCAGGTTCCCATACCAGCTCTGCCCTACCGCCAACAGATGGACTCTGCTGCACCCTCCCTCCATGCCGCTTTCAGCCTCCAAACTCTGCCTCCACTCCCATCCTTGAAGACTGACGCGCAGGCTCCTAACCATCCCACTACACTGCCACCAAATGCATGATTTAAGCCCACACCTGGTGGGCAGCAGCAGGGACAGACATCAAATGCACGCATGCACCTAGCATTCCTTTCCCTCATGAAGCCCCCCTTCTCATCTCTGCTTACCACTGTCACATCTACAGGGGTGGGGGTGACCCCAGGAATAAGCACCAAGGGCCCAGGAGCCAGGTCTCACGCTTTTCAGTTTCATCTACAAGGCTGGCACTATGCCCAGCACGTGGTAAGTGCTCAATAAACACACATTATGAATGAATACATCTCTTGTCTTCTATAGACAGTGACCTACCTGAGGGGAGGAATGGGGTCTGTCTCATTTATCATATATACAATGCCATCCATGATCTGAAAATTGTGCCTGGCACCCAGTAGGAGCTCCAAAGATGCTTGGGGACAGCATACATGAGCGACAACTGAACAAGGGGCATCTCAAGCCCCTCGGAGACTATGGTTTCTGGAGGCTAGGATGTGTCCTGAGGCTTGTGGTTGACTGTGGGGCTTGGCAGCTAACTGGCTTTTGGGGGTCACCTCCCTGAAGAAGCCTGGGCTTTTTCTTTCCTCTGAGAGACAGAAACGCTCACCTTTGCTCAGGTTCTGGAAACAGCTGTGACAAAGAGATGCCACAGAGGGCGGCATAGGCAAAGCGGTTGGCCTCTGTCAGCTCTCGGCCCAGGGGCTGCTGAGACTCCCCTCCTGCAGCTGGCTCTGTGGCCAGAGGCTGCCTCAGGGGTGGCCTGTTCCATGTGGCCATTCCCAGCCCTGCAAGAGAGAATCCCAGTGAGCAGCTTCCAGTGGGAGGTAGAGGTTACCAGAAGGGACACAAAAGTCAAACTGTGGTGGTGCTTGCCTGGTATCCCAGCACTGGCGAGGCTGAGGCAGGAGGACTGCAAGTTCCCAGTCAGCCTAGGCTACACAGTGAGACCATAAAACAACAACCGGAAGAGAAGAGACTAACATATTTGTGTCACTAAAATGATGAATTTCTGTTCAGTACCTTGTTTTGTTTTGAGTTGGGTCTCGTGCGGCCCAGGCTAGCCTCAAACTTGCTGCACAGCTGAAGATGACCTCAAACTCATGCTTTTTCTACATCGACGTCCCGTGCTGGGATTACAAGCTAGGCCACTATGATCAGCTCTATTCACGTACGGGCTGGGGTGGGGGGCCGGGTGCACATCTTTAATTCCGGCATTTGAGAGACCAAGGCAAGCGTATCTTTGTGAGTTTGAGGCCAGCCTCCGCAGCAGAGGACAGGCACAGAGACAGGCCGGTATCTGGAGTTCTCTGGCCAACCATCCTAACTCTGAGCTGCTGAGGTCCAGGCTCAGTGTGAGAGAGATTGTCTCAAAAGGAAAAGGTGGAGAGGGATTGAGGGAAATACTTGAGGTCGACCTCTGGCTTCCACATGCAAGCATTTGCATGTGCACACACAGGAATA